CAGTTCTCTCGTTCTGGGATGACGTCGTCTAACGCCCTCCTATTGTAACTGCAAATGCGCGGCTCCGGGAGCATGCGGCGATCAGAGGTGCTCTGTGTCCCTCGGACACAGCAGATCAACGGAAAGAGCCGAAGATGTCAGCTTGGTCATGTGATCAGCTGTGTGCAATCACAGCTGATCGCATGTAAATAGGGAAATGCCGGTTATCTGCATTTCTCTCCTCACGAGCTGACAGAGGAAAGGAGAGCCGGTAATCCGCATCCCTCAGAGGGGACATGTACACTGATCATCAGGGCACTGATGATCAGTGTTCCCTGATGATCTGTGTAGCCCCAGCAGTGCCACCTGTCAGTGTCCATCAGTGCCAGCTGCCAGTGCTCATCCATGCCACCTATCAGTGCCACATCAATGCCACATTTCAGTGCCTACCAGTGCATATCAGTGCCCATCTGAGCTGCCAGTCAGTGCCACCTATCAGTGCTGCCAGTCAGTGCCGCCTATCAGTGTGCATCAGTGCCACCTATCAGTGCCATATATGAGTGCTGCCTTTCAGTGCCCATCAGTGCCACCTATCGGTGTCCATCACTGCAGCTTCATTAGCGCACATCAGTGAAGGAGAAAAATCACTTATTTACAAAATTTTATAACAAAAACTAAAACTTTTTTTTTTCCAAATTTTCAGTGGTTTTTGGTTTGTTTAAGAAAAAATGAAAACCCAGAGGTGATTAAATACCACCAAAATAAAGCTCTATCTGTCACAAAAAAAATGATAAAAATTTCATATGGGTACAGTGTTGCATGACCGCACAATTGTCAAAGTGCAACAGTGCTGAAAGCTGGAAATTGGTCTGGGCAGGAAGGGGGTATAAGTGCCCTGTAGGCTAGTGGTTAAAGCAAGCAGTGGGTTTTAAAACAATAGGAGGATAATGAGTTTACAGAGAAGTATGTTTTAATGTATGGTACCATGTTAGGCATGTGTTTAGCACACTGCAGCTCCAATGTGTTATTCACCCCTTCACCCTTAGCCTCTGACCCATGTTTATTAAAAAGCTATATAGCCATATGTACTAAAAACCCTGGCCATATACATGGGCAGAATTTCAAACAAAAAATCTGAAGAAAAGAATGTTTTAATAAAGTTTGCTAATTTTTGTAGTGATTAGTGGATCAAATTGATGTATATGTTCAACCACAGTAAAGAGAAAATTCCAAGGAACAGGATTGAAAAGTTATCTTGAAACAGGCAATATTTGGCCTGTGTATACCCAGCTTTAATCCTCCACTCAATACCCAAATCACACTTTTGTATATTTTAAATGGCACAGCAGTGTAGCTCCAATGCACATGAGTTGCACTGCTATGCACAGTGAGATACTGCCGTGCGTTGTGGTGCGCTGCATCAGAAAAAAATGCTGCATGTATTTTTTTTCTGTTTTGTTTTGAGCTACCTTAAGACAACATATATACAGCAAAGTGTGAGTAGGCGTGAACACTTACCCCCTGGAATATTCTCCTAATATGCTTTCTAACACTTAAACTTGACCATAACCGTTAAAGTGCTAGTTAACCATTTAAAAAAAAGTGAACTAACAACTTACACCCTCCCCACCCCCTGTCCTTGCTGTCTGTGGGTGCTGAGCTGTCAGTGTTCACAAAGCTGGTGCAGCAGTCTGAGGATTTTAAAACCTCACTTATCTCTCTCGCAGTGCTTCCTGGACAGATCAGAACGATGCTCTGTGTTGGCTCTGACCAATCAGAATCAAGCTGATCCATCCAGGAAGTGTTGTACAGCGAGGAGGGAGAAGAGCAAGGATTTCAAATCCCTGGGCTGCTGCACCGGATGTGTGGGCACTGACAGCTCAGCACCCATGGAGATAATTACAGCGAGGACTGCAGGAGGGGAGGGTGTATGGTGTTAGGCCACATACAGCTCTCCTGAATGCCTTTCTTCTAGCAGGAGAAAATCCGCATTATTTCATTGGCCAGAATAGTAGTTTATTCTGGCCACTAAAATTAAAGAACGCTGAAACGGTAAACGCGTCTATTGTTTCTAAAATTAGAGGCCCTGAAGAATAAGATGATTGTACGATATTTGCACTACCTATATTTACAGTAAAAAAAACATTACAGTACAATTTATTTCAGTGCACACAAACTCATTGTACTATTTTTGTAAGATGTAAAAGAATGAGGTTGTGCTGAGTAGATAGATACCAAATATAACAAGCCTCAGACTTGCGTGTGTCAACAAAACTATAACAAATGATGATTGCCAAAATGATCCAAGTCTGACCTTCCTCCCCTTAACGGTCTCCTCCTCCCCCAGATAATGTCATGATCTCCACCTCAGCCAATCAGAGGAAGCCTAGTATTCATAAAAATACAAGGCACCCTGTGAATGGCTGAGCAGTGTTCAGCCGGACTAGATTTTGTGTGGGGAAACGAGACAGGAGGTCCTCATACTGCTGACGGAACATCGCTGTGTGTGTAGCCGATGCTGCATATAGTTTATACAGTACTTACAGCACGCACATGTGTTAGTGAGGGAAATCATTTGTGTGAACCAGCATGGTCCAAACAACTATTTTAAGGTTTAATTGTATGTTGACCTTTTCAGAAAAAAATTAAAAGGTCAACAAACATACCACAATCTCCCCATCCCTTTGGTCCCCACTGTATTTCTGTGGTGCCCACGTAACTGGTGCAGCAGTCTGGGGATTTGATACTCCGACTCATCTCCCTCTTTTTTTTTTTTTTCTGCAGCGCTTCTGGGATGGGCCAGAGCAATTCTGACTGGTCAGTGCTGACACAGAGCAGTGCTCTGATCCAATCCACCCCGGAAGCCCTGTAGAAAGAAGTGGAAGAAAACCAGGGATTTAACATTCCCCCCCCCCCAAACCACTTCGTTGGCTGCATGGACACTGACAGATCATAACCCACAAAGGCAAGTACAGTGGGGACCATGGGGGGGTTATGGGGTATAATATTCACCTTTTCATGCTTTTTCTGAAAAGGGGAACTAAACCTTTAAATGAAACATGGAGTTCAGCTTTCAATAACGAGCAGGAATCAAAACATGAGAACCCAAATAAAGTAATTAAAAAAAGACACTTCATAAACAGTTGCTGTATTCTTATGAAAATAGGTGACTGGGATTTTTCTGTTCATTAACCACTTGCCCTCCAGAGGATTTACACCCCCCCTCTTCCTGACCAGGTCATTTTTTGTGGTACGGCGCTGCTTTACTTTAACTGACAATTGCGTGGTCATGCAATGCTGCACCAAACAAAATTTACACGCTTTTTTTTTTCCCACAAATAGATCTTTCTTTCAATGGTAACTGATCGCTTGTGCATTTTTTTTTTTTTGCGCTATAAAAAAAACAATTTTAACCACTTGAGCTCCAGAGGATTTACCCCCCTTAATGAGCAGCCTCTTTTTGCTACTCGGCGCTGCACTAATTCAACTGATAATTGCGCGGTCATGCAATGCTGCACCCAAACGAAATTTACGTCCTTTTTTTCACACAAATAGAGCTTTCTTTCGGTGGTATTTGATCACCTGTGCGCTTTTTATTTTTCACGCTATAAACAAAAAAAGGCCAAACATTTTGAAGAAAAACAATATTTTTTATTTTCAGCTATAAAAAATATATAGTAAAACTCAAAGTTGGTTATAAATTTAGGCCAAAATGTATTCTGCTCCATGTTTTTGGTAAAAAAATCCCAATAAGTGTATATTGATTGCTTTTTGTGGAAGTTATAGCGTCTACAAACTATGGTATAGATACTGCAATTTACGCCATTTTTTTGCTATACAGCGCTGCGCTAGTTTAACGGACAATTGCGCGGTCATGCAATATGGTACATAAATGAAATTTACATCCTTTTTTCCCTACAAATTGAGCTTTCTTTCGGTGGTATTTGATCGCCTGTGCGGTTTTTATTTTTTTTTGCGCTATATAAAAAAAAAGGCTGACAATTTTGAGGAAAAAAAAAACAATGTTTTGGATTTTTTGCTATAACACATGTCCAGTAAAAAAAAAAAATGCAAAAATCAAATTTAGTCATAAATTTCTGCCAAAATGCATTCTGCGACATGTCTGTGCTAAAAAAAAAAAACAATACGTGTAAATTAATTGGTTTACGTGAAAGTTATAGCGTTTACAAATGGCGGGAAAGATACTGGGATTAGGTTTTTTTTTTATACTAATAATGGCGGCGATCAGGGACTTATGGCAGCGACCAGCGACTTATGGCGGGACTGCGGCGGACATTTTGACATTGGGGGGTACTGACTTGGGGTCACTGACATCCCCAAAAACACTAATACAGTGATCAGTGCATAAAAAAAAAAAAACTGACACTGTACTAATGGCAATGGGGAGGAAGGGGTTAACTTTATTTTGCAGGGAAGGGTTATAGGAGTGAGGGGAGTGTTTTACTAGGGGGCGGGGGGGTGTGTACTGGGCGGGACAAGGCTGATCGAGAAAGAGAAACTGTTCTTTCTCGATCAGCTCATCCTCGAGCTGAGAAGGAAGTGACAGACAGCACAGCTACTGCAGCTGTGCTCTCTGTCACTGTTTGCCGCCGATTGCCGGGACATAGCCGCTAAGGAGCGGCTGTGACCCGGCGACTGACATCTGCGGCGGTGATCCGCGGGACAAATAGGGCGGCGGCGCGTCTCGCGCGCGCGCCCCCCTATTTGTTTACAAAACACACGTCTTAAAACGTGCTTTCGCCTGTGAGTGCCGCCCTGCCGCCGTATATGTTCAGTGGCTGGGCGGCAAGTGGTTAACAGCAAAAAGTCATAAATATTGTTTTTTTCTCAAACATGTCCAGTAACAAAATGTAAATCAAATTTCATCATAAATGTAGACCAAAATGTATTCTGCGACATGTCTTTGCTAAGAAAAAAATCCCAATACGTGTAAATTAATTGGTTTACATGAAAGTTATGGCGGTATATATACTGGGATTTTTTACTAGTAATGGCATCGATCAGCGACCTATAGCGGGACTGTGGCTTGCATTCTGACACTGGGGGGGAACTGACTTGGTGTCACTGACATCCCCAGTGACACCAATACAGTGATCAGTGCTAATAAAAAGCACTGACACTACTAATGGCACTGGGCAGGAAGGGGTTAACATGCTGGGCGATCAAAGGGTTAACTGTGTGTAGTTTTACATACTGGGCTGCTTGTGCTTCACTGTAAGCACAATGCTTTGCATGAGCCATGTGCAAAGCAGTGTGCAGGAGCTGACGGGAGAGAATTGTTTTGTTTACAAACTGTCCCCCCCGTCCCCCCCCTTCCTGTCGGAGGAGTTGCTTGGCTCTAGTAATCACTACCCGGGACCCGGTGATTGACAGCCAAGGCAGGAAATGCAAAATCATGTGTATATATACGTGATTTTTGCACACCTGTGCCACCCTCCTAGCAGTACGTCTGCGGACAGGAAGCGGTTAATCTGCAAAAAATTTAACATAAATTTGAAAAGTGCAGGTTATATAATATTCTTGCAATGGAGATTTGTTTTGTATAAAGTTAATAAATTCCTTCTTTTTTTTTTTATTTTATTTTATTTTTTTTTTTTTTTAATTTCAGTATTGACAAACTTTCTTCTTTTAAATATGAGATGTCAGCTGCTTGTGGTATTCTTTCAAGTATAGGGATGGGCAGCAGTATTGTTATGGTTTTCTTTCTGTACAGCTGCATTTCTGATCTGATATTGAGGTTAAGTGGGTTTTCCTGTGTGAAATGTGTGTGAATCATCTGCATTTTGCAGCGATATACAGGAACTAAGACCAAAGCATATGTTGTCCAAAACAAAGTGCATCAACATGATAGGTTAATTGTATTCAGATAATAGAAGGTTTTTTTGAAAAAGAAAGATATAAAAATGACTTGATCTCTTCATTGCATCTTTACAGTGACACAGAGGTGGAAGAATTAAAACAGCTGTTATACTTCACCTACATCAATAAAAGTCCGCAATAGTTGTTGCTGTTGTTCAGTATGTTTTTAGCTATGCATGCATTATAACTACATATTTGTTTTAGTAAGATTACTGCTTCCTCAATTAATTCCCTTTTTTGTTGATTTTCCCACTTGTCCTGCATTTTCTGTAAAATGCTAACTTTTATTTTTTTTTCCCTTTGACCCACAAACCACTTATCCCACCAGTGTCTGTTCTGTTAGTCTTTGCAAACAATTAAAGGTAGAGAAGGATTATAAAAATAATTACAGAATAGTTATGTTTATCTTTGTAATGTAATGCATATTGCACAGTCAAGGGGCCCCAGTACTTGTTAAAACTGAACCTCGCAGAACTAAAATGTTCTACATTGCAATGAGGCTGTGCCCTCACTGTAAGGGTTAATGGTTTATTTGTGACTAGGGAGACCAGGTAAAACCACTTTTATTTACCCAATCCTCCGCTCCTGCAGGCTCCTCTGCATTGCTAGACCAGTCCCTGCAGCCTTTCTCTCCTGCACTTGGGTGGTCTAAGGTCCTCTGACATCATCAAAAACCAATGCATGGACCATAGTTCTCCACTGGACGCAAGGATGCCGAAGTACAGTCCTCTGCCAGAGGATCAGATAAGTAAACATGATCTTACCATCCCCTAGACTATGCAAGTAGTTAACCCTCGCAGTGCAGGCACAGCTTCCCTGCAAAGGAGGAATCTGTTCCGGAGTTCAGCTTTATAAACATTGTGTAGCTTTAAAAATTGAAGTTTAATTTAAGCATCATATTTGTAGGCCCATCATGACTTACCCACAGCCTGAATGAGAAACTACTAATAGGAAAGATGTGCGCCATCCTGCTTGTGATCAGGAATGCCCTGTACATTGGGTATGCTCCCAGCATCACTGAAATGAGCACTTTCCCTCTTTGCACAGTTCTCCTCTGCCACAGAAGCAGGTGAGCTCAGCAGTGCTGTAACAGGAGGGAGACCTCAATGCACAAGACTTGGGCCCTTTTCACACTGGTGCACTTTCCGGGGTGACTAAAGTGCAGGAAAACTATTCCCCATTTAATCCAATGTAACTGTTAACACTGCAGGTGCGCTGTTTTGAAAAGTCCTGCATGCTGCATCTTTGATGTAGGTTTTCAAAGCCCATCAAAAAGCATCTGCGATTAGAAGTCAATTGGAATGTATCAAAAGCGCATCATTGTAAAAGGGCCCTACAAAGAGGGAGAGTGCTTGTTTCTATTGATGCTGGGGGCATCTTCACAGACGAGGTGTCCCAGATCACAGGCAGGATGGCACGATGGATCGCTCCCATAAGTAGCTTTTCATCCAAGCTGTTCAAATGAATGCATTGCCACAATCAAAAAAAAAAAAAAAAACGCTCACCTGGCCACATCATTCATTCTGTGTATGGAAGAACTACAACTACCATCAGCCATTGTGGCTAACGGCTTGTAGTTCTCATTGGACTATCAGGAGGCTGATTATCACTCTAGGTAGTTCATTGTTGCTTCCTGTCATTCAGTAACTGCCTGCCCATCAGAAAGAAAAAGGAGGGGAGAAGGATGGGACTCTTTAGGTACCCTACAGATTTGTTTGGGAACCATTGAGGCAATCTGGGAAGTTGTACGTCTGCAGGGTGCAATTTTTGGCAGGTATATGCCTTAATCTTCTTGCTAATAGAGGCCATGCGTTGTGATGTGTGGCAGATATATGTAGCACCACCTTTGCTTTGAACCCAGTGTGACCTTCCACGCAACCCCCAGATTCACATTCTGTGATATTCTGGTTTGATCTTGCTCTATATGTTGCCTATTGACCTTTTTGGGTGCATGAAGCATTGGGATGGGTGCTTATCTATTGTGACCATTTTCAGGATTCTTAAAGTCAATATCTATTACATCTTGATTCTGGCTTGTTGCCTTTATCTATTGTGCTAGCCGGCTAGCTTTATACTCCTTGTACTTTACCTGAATCTATTCAAGATCTGCCATATAGGACATGCATCTTTCTTTGTGTGCTATCTTATGTACACTTTTCTAGCTCCTGATGAAGGCTCGCTAAGAGCTGAAACACATTGAGATTCCAAGGTCTCTGAATCCATCTGGAAACTTTTCTATGGATGGAATGCAATCTACTAATCTTTGTAGTTCCAATCCAGTACAAACTGGTCCAGCATATGTGTTTTGTATTATTTGTAATTTTGCTTAATACATTTTGTATTTTTTTTTTTTTATTCTAATGATGTTGGACCTAGAGTTCCACCCTTCTCCCCTCCTTTTTCTTTACTACAATTTTTGGGATATGGTACTTGTGTTATTGACAGTCATAGACTTGGCACAATTTTATAGTTTACCCATATGAGGTACGGGCAGACGGCTACACTGACAGCCTACAAGAGCCTGAGATTGCACGCACGATATGCTGATCGTGGGTGCAATGCTTTACAGTCTCATAATAAATGCACTGTTTTTTACCTGCAAAAACATGTGCATTTATTATTTTTTTAAAAAGGTGAAACGATCCTCTGCCAATCCCTCCACTGGCTTCCCATTGGCCCATGCATAAAATTCAAAACATTAACAATAACATATAAAGCCATTTATAACTCTGCTCCAAATTACATCACCAATCTTGTCTCCAAATATCACCAAACCGTCCTCTCCGCTCCTCCCACGACCTCCTGCTCTCTAGGTCCCTTGTCTCCTCCTCCCATGCTCATCTCCAGGACTTCTCCAGAGGCTCCCGCATCCTCTGGAATTCTCTACCCTAATCTGTCAGACTATCGCCTACTCTGCTCACTTTTAGGCGATCTCTGAAAACCTATCCCTTCAGGGAAGCCTATCCCTCCTTCAGCTAATAACGGAATCTTCTATTCCTCCTATCAGTTCATCCCCCACAATTGTTACCTTTTGTACCACAAGCCCCTCCCTCTTAGATTGTAAACTCCAAGGAGCAGGGCCCTCCTAACCCTCATGTATTGAACTGTATTGTTGCTGTATTGTCTCCATTTATATTGTAAAGCGCTGAGCAAACTGTTGGCGCTATATAAATCCTGTATAACAACAATAATAATAATATCCTTTGAGAATAGTTAAAGCAATCAGTAATCCCTAGGGCGTTCTTTAGATGTATGGCATGCAATCTCCTAATTTAACCACTTCCCGACTGCCCTATAGCAGAAGCCGCTATTGGCTCCTCGACATGTCAATCACCGGGTCCCGGCCGCCGATTCTCTGCTGGGACTTGGTGATTGTCAGCGGAGCTGCCAGGGGAGAGGGCTGTATGTAAACAATACAGATCTCTTCCCTGTCAGCATGAACAGGCTGCTTTGTATTGCTCTGCACAGCAGCAAAGCAGCTTGTCTACACAGTAAAACAGCACACAGTTAACCCTTTGATCACCCCATGTGTTAACCCTTTCCTGCCCAGTGTATAGTACAGTGTCAGTGCTTTTTATTAGCACTGATCACTGTATTGGTGTCACTGGGGATGTCAGTGGCAGTCAGTTCCCCCCCAGCCTCAGAATGCCCGCCCCAGTTCCGCTATAAGTTACTGATTGCCGTCATTGCTAGTACAAAAAAAAAAAAAAAAAAAATCCCAGTACATTTGTAGACGCTATAACTTTCACGTAACCAATTCATTTACACGTTGGGACTTTTTTTATAGCAAAGACATGGAGCAGAATACATTTTGGCCAAAATTTATGACGAAATCTGATTTTTAAATAAAAATTTTTATTGGGCATGTTTAATAGCAAAAAGTAAAAAATATTGGGGGGGGTTCTCAAAATTGTCTGCCTTTTTTTGTTTATAGTGCAAAAAATAAAAACACAGAGGTGATCAAGTACCACCGAATGAAAGCTCTATTTGTTGGGAAAAAAAAGGACTCAAACTTAATTTGGATGCAGCGTTGCATGACCGCGCAATTGTCAGTTTAAATAACGCAGTGCTGTAACACAAAAAATGGCCTGGTCAGGAAAGGGGGGGAATCCTCTAGAGGGCAAGTGGTTAAATAGCATTTCTTCTACCTTTTTGTGTTTTCTATTGATTACTTTAGAAAATTTAGTTAAACATCTGATTTGTATTTGCATCATAAAAGCCTAGTTTAGGTCTCTAATTTATTTAGCAAAGCTGTTCCACCTTCTTAGAAAAATAATATAAAATATATAGCACACACTCATACACACAAACATTTTCAGACAAGATTCACACTTTTTCACCCAGGATTCTCAATGTGAATCTTCAGTGAAAGTTATGAATCTTAGGTTAAAACATTTATAAACAGACCCCTTATTGTTGGCCTATTTTGTAAT